AATCTTAGGCATTTTGCTGCAAACTGCTGTTTACTTGCAAACAATACAAATTCGTTAAGAACTGTGGCAGTACTTCATTCAATCCATGCTAAGTGAGAAAGGCTCATATGATAGGAGAGATAAGAGATTCATCTTATCTTTGAGAGGATTTTGGAACGCAATGCTGCTAAGGGACAAAATAAAAGTGGAGGAAAAACTATTTTTGGAGAATTTTTATATACATAAACAACACAACTAATAGCCTGGTGGAGTACGTGCAACAGGACAGTGATCGCAAGATCCCTTTGCTCCATCCTTTCCGGGTGGGCCTGGTGGTCCATTTTCTCCGTTCTTACCATCAGGTCCATCCGCACCCGGATCTCCTTGAGGTCCGGGTTGTCCATTTCGTCCGGGCTGTCCGGGACGGCCTTCCGGTCCAGGCGGTCCTTGTGGTCCTGGCTCTCCTGGTGGTCCCATCTTTCCAGACTCCGATGGTAGAGTTCGAACAGGTCCAGGGGGTCCACGAGGTCCTGGCTCTCCGTCCGCGCCTGCGGGACCGGCTGCTCCACGAGGTCCAGGTGGACCTTGATGTCCTGCTGGTCCAGCAGGTCCCCTCTAAAAATGGAAAATAAGAAGCAAACTTTCACTTTTTAAAGCTGTTAGTCCTCTCACCTCTCCTGGTCCACCAGGTGGTCCCGGTGGTCCCATAGGTCCAGGAACTCCATCGGGTCCAGGAGGCGATGGCTCGCACTCAAAGCAGAAGTCATCTTTTGTCGGTACGGCGGTGGTGCTTGGTGCATCGGCTCCTGGAGGACCTGGTTTTCCAGGCTTTCCGTCTGCTCCAGGTTCTCCATCTTCTCCTGGCGGTCCAACTGGTCCGGGTGCTCCAATACCGCAAGAGCAGCAAAGCTCAGGGTATTGTCGTTTCGATCGAGTGGCTATTGTGCGAACGCTTTCTAGCTGTAAATAAAGTTGATACTACATTTTCGAGGGCAGCTTATCAAAACTGTTTTGTAGTTTCAAATATGAGAAGATTTATTAGATTTATCATTATTATTAAATTGCACCAACTAATCTATCACATTCATAGATAACAATGT